TCCTAATCTCAGAAATATGAAGAGGTATACAGCCAACTCAGTCAGAGGAAGTTGCAAACATATTATATAAGAGCTATCCAGTTGACAGTTTAATATTAATTTCCCTTGCCAGCCCTTTTTGTTATATTTTAAGCTTTTTCTCTTTTTAAATTTTCAGGCTCACCTCTGTTTTATGTGTCTTTATATCCACACTGTCCTGATATTCCAAAATCTGGCATCTATAAACCTTGTTGCCAAAACCTTTAATTGTCACCTGCCTTGAACCAAAACCATCTCGCTGTGCACATTATTGCAGCTCTTTACTTATACACACACAGATTCTGTAAGTTCTTTTCAGAGATACTACAGTTTCATTATCTCACCTGAAAAATCTTCTAGACCTCGGCTCTAGAGCGGTCACCTAATCTCTGTTCCTGTCTCCCACGCCCATGACCTAGATGTCCAAACAACCTGCTGTCCTTCTACCTTTCTCATTCCCTGAACTCTCTAGATCGATTCCTCCATCTGCCCTTCCAGTTTTCTTCTTCTGGACCAAATTAAATATGTGTTCTCGCACATCATTCTTGTCAAAAACTCTCCTTTCCTACTTTCATTGCACTCCAGTAACAATTCCAACTCTGTTTCCTTGATTTCTAATCTAGTACTGAAAAGAACTCAGAATGATACAAAATAGTGTCACTATACCTCCAGAGACCCACTCTTCACAGAGCTCCCAAGCTATCTAGCAGTGCCACCATGGGCTCCACTCAAACCTCTGTCTTATTCCTTGCAAGGGATATTTCAAACCTTTATTATTTATGCCTCCTCTTCTCTCAGGATGGAAATCCCTAGCAGTTATTTCTCAGCATCAACAAAATTTATCTGCAAGACTCTTTATCACCTGACTCATAAAATTTTATTATTTTCCTTTTTTTAGATTTTTCTTTAAGGTTTTGTCTTTGGCCATCAATCATCTTCCCTCTCTTTGAGTAATCTTATTTACTCCATAATTTCAACTACCACATACTCATATATCTTGGAATTCTTCTATCTACATAAATAATCTAAAATGCTTTTTAAACTCCAGATTAATCTACCTAATTGCCTTTTAGATAGTGCCACTTGATTTCTCTCTCTTTTTCACCAACTAGGCAATGAATTCTATCAATTTTACTTATTAACTCTTTCATATGTTGACTTTCATTAAACTTACTGCTACTTCCAAGTCATTTTAAAAAAACAATTGTAAGTGAATACTCCCATATTTAAAATATTTTAATGGTTCTCATCAAGTGTGGTTTAAAGGCAAATTTGTTAACTTGACACACAAGGTACTTTTGGATTTAACAGCATCTATCTTTATAGCCCTTTGTTTCCCAAAGTATGTTCAGTCACATTTATTTTATGGAAAATTTTGCAAGATGGAGTATGGAAAATAGGAGTGGAGTAGAGGGTTTATCAAGTTCAAATACATTTGAGAACCCAATGTTCCAGTGTTAGCTCTCAGAGCAGCGGTCGTCAAACTGGCTGGCTTCTGAACCAGTAGCACCAGAATTACTTGAGACTCTGTTATCTGTGTATATTCTCAGGCCTCACCCTGGGCCTATTGAATCAGGAACTCAGGGGACAGGCCTAGCAATCTGTGTTTTAGCAAGCCTTCCCAGAAAGACTAACATACACTACTGTTTGAGAACCATCATTTTAGAGAATTACTATGTGCATTAACATATTACTCAAAGGAATCTGGAAATAATCTTTTTAACTTTTTTTAAGGAAACATTTTCTTAATTGAGTTAAGCATGAGTCGTGCATGTGTGTTAAACTAAACTCACTAGCATCCAGTAAATCTAATGTTAGAAAAACATACTTTATCAAGAGCTTGTAGCCTCAGATTATTAGTAATTCTCCAAGTAGGTATCTGCCATATACTTTTGCATTGAACATCCCACCTTTGCATTTCTCTATTAAATATCCCCTCACAACCCTTGTCTGGCCAACTCTTTAGAGGAGAGTTTCAAAATTACATGCTCATTGAACAAGAACATGGAATGTCACAGAAATGCAACAGTCTTAGAAGCATTGCAAACGTCTTACTACCATGAAGATATCATCTATTATTTCAACACTTTTGTTTTTGCTGGTAATAGTTCTATCTGTTGATCTCTTCTTGAAGGAATACCTTCATATTTACTTACTTGAAATTTTTAAAGTATAGTGTATGTCTTATCAGCTTGTCTGCACAGGTTTTTTTGTAGTGAAATATCCTTTGTAAACATGACCATTGGATGCTTTTTTTCAGGTGATCCTGACAACTTTCCACTTTCAAAAAATCCTCTCCCCGTTATACTCTCACAGACTTTCTTTCCTCAATAGTTTATTAGCAAAATAAGTATTAGTCATGATAATACTGATAAACATAATTAAAGTTGATCAAAATCATAGCTTTATAAACTTGTATTTTTGTTATTGACTTATAATTATACATTATACTTGTATATTGTGTGAATATATATTATAATATATTTTATTATAATAAATATTGATTTATAAGCATTTCAGTAAATGTTAATATATCTTATTATTAGCTTTTTAAATTTCTCCTACTGTTATCTTAATTTTTCCAACCCCAAGGTCAAGTGTTCTAATAGACTTCTAGGATATTAATAAAGTCTTACTTAGAAGAATTTAATTCTTAATAAACCGGTTAAATATTCTAATATACATGATTGCACCCTATTATTTTAAACATGCAGTCTATTGAAATGTGCTAGTAAGATAGGGAAGGTCTGATTTATGATATTCTTGTGTGCTACATAAAAACTTAATGATTCAGCATTCCAATTGGTTGATTCTCATGCTACATACAGAATTCGATATAAAAAAACGGTACCTCTATCATTGTCTAATGTCATGAAACAGTAATGGCAGTATAATTTGTGACAGCTAAGGGAATTTGAAATTAATGCATAGTCGTCTATGTACTTTTAGTCTCTCCATATCACTCTTTGCAGAATGATGATAAGTGACTGATGTTAAACATATCAGTTATAGTCATTTCCTTTCATTTAATCACATTATTTGAAATAAGCTAGACATATAGCTTAGCTATATGCACATCGTGATGATTAATGATAGCACTCTAATATAGTCTACTGAGGCCACTAGAACTAATTTTATTTATAACCTTCACAACTCACCAGGTTTTCTGATTTCTAAATACATCATAGAGAAGGAAATCAATTGAGCTTAATGTAATGAATAAATAATTACATTATTGTGAGAATAGGAAAGTCCTGTTCACAAAAGAAAAATACATTTTAATAGAAAATGTAACCTAAAAGTAGGCAAAGCTGGATATTTGTAAGTTTGTACTGCTGCCTTTTTCTTCTTAAAGATCTGTTGTACTTATGTGCCTCAGGAGCAGAAAAGCGTAGCCTACCAAGGAGTTTCAAGTGGTTCTCAGGGACCAGACATACAAGGTTCTCAAGGCCCTTTGAAAGCTGCTTATGTTATAGATCATTCTGGAAATTTGAAGTAATTTGTGCCAGCCACTAAGTTTTGACTGTTTTAATTTTACTCTCCTCCTTTTAATCTCTGTTGCATTTTGAGCATAAAGATCAATCAACCTGGGAAATGACATGTCCCTAAAGGCACATTATAGTCTGTGTGTGGAGATCTCTAATAGTAAGTGGAGTCAATATAGGGCTATATTTTAGCTTAAGGAGAATAATAATCTGTTAATGACTCATCCAAATTTGGTTACATGTCTTGGACAACATTAGCAGGTACGAGCATAACCATTCTGCAGGGGTTGGCTGATTTTCAGATAAGAAGCGCTAGTTGGATATGGCAGTTGAATGAGTTAGATAAAATCTAATCCACCTTGTATATCAAAGAGCCCATGAATTTTCTGAGGCACAAATCGAAGTTATCAAACGTCCTGGACCTATAAGCTTGGGAATAATTTAGCAAAAATAGTCAGAGAAGCCATATGCTTCCCACTTATTTCTATACCTGGGTGAAAATTGTCTCTGCCTTTTTCTTTTTGCTTAATTTTAAAAAGTAAATGTAAAAGAAATGTTCTAAGATGAATACCCACCAAACTAAACAACGAGAATAATTTCTCAGTATGTTCAAAAGAATATGTGTTGAGTATGAAGTTTATATGTGAAACTTTCGAGATTGTTATTGTACTCTGTTAATCTCAATGTAAATTTAGATCCCAGACAACACTGTCTTTCTAGATGTAACAGTTGGAGAATTCATTCAGTGTGGTAAATTGAGAAAGATTCAAATATGACTTAAACAGGCACACATACAGAGAGACAGAGAGAGAGAGAGACAGAGAGAGAGAGAGAGAGAGAGAGAGAGAGAGAGGAAGAGAGAGCGAGAGAGAGAGAGAGAGAGAGAGAGAGAGAGAGAGAGAGAGAGNAGAGAGAGAGAGAGAGAGAGAGAGAGAGAGAGAGAGAAGAAAGATAACCTGACAAAGCTTTAGCAAACTAGATACATTTATAGGTGGAATGAGAGAGTTCCAGGCCATTATGTAACATGTATATAAAGTAGAATTTAATAGTACAGACTTTGTAACCAAACGGCATTGAGTTCTGACCACTTACTACCAATGTGACTTTGGACAAAATACTTAGGCATGATAAATTTTCATATACACATTTGTGCGCACACACACATCTTTGTACACATATAATTCAATCTCTCCTTGGGAGAAGCCACATTAAAGGAATACTTTCTGCAGTAATAATTGCTAAGTTTATGAACTGTGATAGAGGATGAGAAACATTCACTCAAGAAACAAGCATTTAGAAACAAGCCTTGTCAATGTGATGTTATCCTATGGGGTCCCATTCAGTGAAGAAAGGAAACCTGAATTTAATAGCTTTGGCTCACGTGATCTAAGAGTTTTCATAACACTTTTTTTCTGATCCTCCTGTTTAACAGTGACTTCTAACTAAAGTCATGCCATTTAACCTTTTCTTTTGCATGTTACGTGACCTTGTGAGCAGAGTAAGAAACAGGACATTCCTCGGGAAGAGCAGGGACCAACCACCAAGAATTTGGATTTTTGGCCCCAACTTATTACACTGATGGTCACTATTATTGATGAGGATAAAACTGCCTACACACCTGTCCTGAATCAGTAAGTACACTGCTTTATAAATGAATGGATTTTATTCAGCTAAAGTTACAAAAACATAACATCTTTGAATCATGGCTTATACTCTCATGACAATGACAATTTTTTATAAAATTAAGCCATAGTAGAAAACAGTATTTTTATACTTTTATCAGTAAATATCAATTCAGTGATATTATGAATTTTTAGTTCAAGCCCCATTGAGTGTGATTCTTTGGATATGGAGACAAATATATCCCAAGATTTATTTTTTTTTTAATGTAGAAAAGTTTTCTCTTTGGTTTCTTTCATAACTATCCCATTGTCTAAGAAGATATAAAGTGCACCCCCTCAATCTAAAAAAGAATTTTAAAGAACTAGTATTAAACATATTCCATTGTGACTTTTTAATAATAAAGATTTATCAAAAAAACTGCTTTCAAATAGTATGTATGCTGGATTTAACAAATTTAATGCAACATTTAATAGAACAAGTTCATTTTCTCAAATAAAAACCTAAGCCTATGCATCCAAGCATAGAATTTACAAATTATGAGCAAGTAGACAAGTCAGATGAATTAAAATTTATAGCTGTTGCAGAAGAACAGACTCTAGAAGAGTCTAAAATCACCAATTGATCAAAATGCCACTAGCTATGAGACCTTGAGCAAAGTATCTAATTCCCTACGGACTCAGTTTCCTCATATGTAAAGTAAGGACATATTACTAGATAATATCCAAGATCCGATCCAACTTTAATGTTTAATCTTTAATTCAAGATTTATATCATGCCCACTGTTGCGGGCTATCCAAGCAAAATAACAGCTGACTGCAAACTACACACTTGCAGTCTGGTTAATGGGAAGGGTATCCTGATATATTGGTAATACCTGAAATGTTGTGGGAAGTACAGATAGCAGAAATAGACAAACAATGAAGCAGAACATGAACTAGATTCAGGCTTACTATGTAGACCCTAGTTTTATTATTTCTCATTCTCTATGACCCTACTGGTCAAGGCTTTTAGGGACTTTTTGCCTATGTTGAATCCAATTAAAGTTCCAATTACAGAAGAAATGAATTTCAGTATCCCAGGTTTCATCGTTTCCTGCTTCTTAACCACCTATTTTCACCTGCCCCATGTTCCTCCTCATCAGACAGGGGTCCCCTCTTTGATATGCAACTATCATTAGGTTTGCCTGTTTACTTTCTTCTTCCTTTGCCCCTATAGCCAACTTTCCTGGTCTTTTGATGACCATCTGTAGAGACTTTGCTCTTTTATCCTCTTCTAATGATCCAAGACTTGATCTTCTCTTTTAATATATGACATGTCCTCAGCTCATGCTGGGCAGCTTTGTGGCATATATGTGTTTTCTCATTCATTCTTTGGAACTTTCTTAAAGGCAGAGTAGATTTCCTAACAATAGAAAGACCAATAACTTGTTGCAAGGCTGTACCCTTCGATTCAGATAGGCCATTAGATAAATTACTATTGAATGAACTTAAAAATCTGCTAAGAAATGCTAATTAAAAGTTATTTGAAAGGATTTTATTTTTAATCAAAGAAATTCTTTACATTTACCAAATATCTGAAATCAGGATATGACTGGAAAAAGAGACATTATAAAACCATGGAATCAATTAAAGTTTCCTAGAATTCTCTTTAATAATATACCATGAAAGATATGTAAAGATTTTAGTTGACTTTTTTATAACTATATTAAAGGAAATAGAGGAATTACATTTATTTATGGCAAAATAAATTTTAAATTATAAACTAAATTCTACTAAGTATAAAAATAAGCAATAACAAAGGGAAAGGTAATAAATGTCTTTGTTTTACTTTTTATTTTTGGTCTTAATGTCCGAGTTTAGAGTCACTTTTTTTCTGTGAAACCTACTCCTATAAAAACTTGAATGCCTTCATTCTGTTTGGAATCTTTCTTTGCTATTGTATTTGCTCAGATTTTGAGGATGCTCTAAAGATTTTTTTCTTATGAAAGATCATTTCATTTTGTTTCTCATTTAATTGAATCAGTGTTTTAAGTGAACTGTTTTGGAGAGTGAGGTGTGGTCTTGGTGGTCAATGAGATGTTTATTCACACCTGTTTCTTTATTTGCACAATGTGTGGTCACATTTAGGCTTCACTAATTATCACATTGGTTGGTGAAGTTAGCACAGTGTTTCACAAAGTAGAAAATCCAGACACCTGGTGTCAGGATGACATGGGCTGCTGATTGGGTTTCTGAGCACCATTCTAAATCTGTGGAGGCAAAATCCGAAGTTGGCACAGAAGTCTTAATTATTAATAAAGCTTCCATCATGCGTTCTATGAATACTAAAGTCTGAAAGCACAGGCCAGTTTGTGAAGGACATGTCAGGCTAAAACAAGTTTTGGTTTTATTTTGAAGGCAATGACAGATGAACAAATGATTTAACAGCATAGGAGTTATTTTTATCTCTTTGAATGTTATCTAGGATTATTGATGTAAATAATTTATTGAATTAAATATTTATTATCATGACTTTGAAGAATCATTCTAAGCTTTGCTTATTCAAATTTGATAGCAATTTGTAATAACTGTAGAATGTAAGCTTGAGGGGAGGGATTTGTTTTATTTTGTATACTAGTATATAACCAGGCATATGTAGTAGTTGAATGAATGAATAAATTAAAGTCTGTCCATATGCATAGTTGGTATCTGTTCTCTCTGTTCCTACTCCATTGATTAATGATGTACTAGAGTATTTCTTTGAGCAATATTTATTTACATTTTAAAAATTATTTTTATGATGTGGGTTTCTAGATGCTCATAGAAATTTCACTATTACATTGAAACTGAAAACTATTAGATAGAGTATTTTTAGATCTTTAGGTGTGGGTCTCTCTCTCCCTTTCTAACAGATTTATTGATGTATATAACTGACTATAATAAAACTGCAGATGTTTAAAGTATACAATTTGATTAGTTTTGACATCTATCTCTAGCCACGAAGCCCTCACCATAGTCAAGATAATGTAGATTTCCATCATCCCACAAAGTTCCCATGTGCCCTGTGTAACCCACACCAGAAAAACACTGATCTGCTGTCTGATATAAATCAGTTTGAAATTTTTATCTTTTTTATATAAAGGAAGCATATTATATATATGTACATATATACATATATGTGTGTATGTGTATATATGTATATATGTGTGTGTGTATATAAGTGTGTGGGTGTGTACATATATATATATGTGTGTATATATATATATATATATATATATATATATAATCTTTTGACTGACTTTATTTCACTTATTACAAATATTTTGAGATTCACCCAGGTTTTGTGTATTAGTACTTCATCTCCTTTTATTGCTGAGTAATATTCTAGGGTTAGTATCAACATTTGGATTTTTTTTTCCGGGTTAGATGGCTATGAATATTTCTTTACAAGTTTTTGCATAGACACATTTTTCGTTTCCCTTGGGTCATGTGGTAGGTACATGTTTAATATTTCTTAAAACTGCCAAACTACTTTCCAAAGTGGTTGCACATTGCCAACACTTCGTATGATTTGACTTTTAATTGTAGCCATTCAAATAGGTGTATAGTGGTAGCTCACTGTGATTTTAATTTCTACTTTTCTAAATACTGATGTTGATCATCTTTTTATGTGCTTGTTGCAATCCATATATCTTTTTTTTGTGAAGTGTCTGTTCAAATCTTTTTATCATTTCCTAGTTGGGATGTTTATCTTATTATTATTGAGTTATAATGGTTCTTTATATGTACTAATAATGGCTTGTTGTCATATTTTCTCCTAGTTTGTGACTTTCTTTACCATTTCCTTATTAGTATCATTTGAAGAGCAGTTTTTAAATTTGATGGAGTAATCCAATTAATTTATCATTTTCCTTTATAATTTGGGATTTTTAAGTCCTACTTAAGAAAACTTTGCGACACCCAAAATCAACTTGCAACACCATCGTTTTCTTTTGGATATCTTACATTGAGGTCTACAATTCATTTCAAGTTATTTTTTTGTACATGCTGTGATATAGAGTTTAAGATTCTTTGAAATGTTTTTTTTTCATATGTTTAGTCACTCCACTTGTTAGAAAAATCCTTTCCCCATTGGATTACTTTGGCAACTTTGTCAAAAATCAATTAACTATATGTGTGAGTTTAATTCTGTACTCTCTGTTCCATTGATCTATTGATCCACATAACTGTCGGTCTAGTGGTGGTGAACTTCAGCTTTTGTTTGCCTGGAAAACTCTCCTTCAATTCCAAAAGACAACTTTGCCAAGTAGAGTACTCATGGTTGGCATGTTTTTCCTCTCAGCATTTTTAATATATCACCCCACTCCCTTCTTGCCTGAAAAGTTGCTGCTGAAAATGCACTGATAGTCTCTGGGAGATTTTCTTGTATGTAATAAGTTGTATTCCTCTTGCTGCTCTGAAGATTCATTCTTTGTCTGTTATGTCTTTTCTTTGTTGAAAATTCTCACTTTGTTCATGCATTGCTCTCCTGGCCTCAGGTGAGCATTTTTATGACCATTATTTTGAACTCTCTATTGGGTAAATCACTCATCTCCATTTCATTAAGATTGTTTTCTGGTGGTTTATCCTGTTTTTTTGTTTGGAACCTATTCCCTTGTTTCTTCATTTTCCTTGACTCTCTGTGTTTGTTTCTGAACCTTAGATAAAAGAGCCTAGTTTTGATAGATTGGTTTCATCAATCAGCCCAGCCCCAGCTCCTGGTTATCTCTCAAACTTTTTTTTTTTTTTAACATTTTTATTGGGGGATTTGGGGGATGGGAACAGCACTGAGGAATTGGGGGAAAGGGAACAGACAAGTTGCTGTTGCTATGTTCTTCGGTCTAGTTGTGGAGGACGTTGCTTCACTGGCCCAAGTTGGCACCATCATTGCGCTCTTCCCAGGCGAGGCAGATCAGTCGCTGGCTTCTGGACGGCCACTCACGGCGGCTGCTGGCCGCTCACGCTGGCTGCTGGCTACACACAGTAGCCCA